AATTTTACAGACATGTCCTTATTTAGCCAACCAGCTAACAAGAAACATAGCTTTCCATTGAAGGCTAATTTGAAGTCTCAAGCACATATCCTCAGCTGTTGCAAAATTATGCCTCGAAGTGCAATAGGCTCTGACGTTTTACATCAGAGATCTGAGAATCTGCTTGTGAGGGCAAAATAAGTGGATGCAGCTGCATTTCTCTTCCTTGGGAGTTGCCCCTTGTACACAACTGATTGCAGGTGGCTGAGAGTTGGTATTTAAAAAGGACAACTTTTTTGGTGATTTTGCTATTGGAAATTTATTTTTTTTTTTTTAGCATAGAGTGGGATGTTTGTCTTTTTCTTTTAAATGTAACTGGTGAATTTCATTCTCATGCTGTCTCTGACGGCTGCCCAGGGACTGTAGCACACCATACCCCAACTCAGAGGAAAGTATGTGGATGGAGCTAGCTCAGAAAACATATTACCGTATCATAAATGAGACATTATCTCTCATGCTGTATCATACGGCAGAGGAAGGATAGAATTGAAAATGTGACCCCTTTTTTTCTTCAAATAATACAGTGCCATTCAACAGACTTAATTAGCTCTAAAAACACATCCAGTAATTGTTGGTCTGTCAATCAAAACCCTTATTAGACATGTGCATGACGTCACATCACAGTCTAACAAATCTTCCTGACAGTCAAAATGCATTAAATAGATTAATCTGATTTCAGAGGCAAGTTTTGTGTTTGACCTTTTACCCAGCTTCTTCAGGGCTAAAATTGGAGAGGACCAGAATGTTTTCTGTGTGCTGCTGAGTGGGAACGATGGGCTCTGGGCTGTCCCTAAGCGTTTGCTGGCCATGCTCTGCTTTACGCTGCTGCATGGAGCCTGGAAAGGGATTCCGCCTTGGATGGCTGAGTGACCTGCAGTGGATCTGCATTGCTACAGGAGAGATCTTCTCCCCCATCTTCTGGCCTGTCTGTACCACAGCGTTAATTCCCTGGCTGCTTGGGATATTGTGAAGCATGTTGACTGCTGGGTTTTGAGATGATACAGTCCATCCCACGCACACTGCGTATATCCACTGCTTTGCTGTGGCCATGCACCCTTGGCAGTGCCACAGCACTATTGTTGTGCTGGGGAAGACCACAGAGCCTTTCTCCCAGCAGGAAATACCTGCTTTGCTAAGGGAAAAGCGTGCATGGCTGAACAGAGCAGGCACCGTACTGACAGCTCAGCGAGTTTTCCAGCCTGTGTGTCAGGGTGCCAAGTGTGAGAAGTAAATGCACTAATAACCACTGGGATTTGAAAGGCAGCTCCGTCCAGATTTCCCAGGCCAAACAGGCAGGCATGTCACACTGTGATGTTGTTGTGCCGCTCCAAGCAGCTCTGGGATGCATCACATGTGCTGCTCTGCCCTGCCCAGCAGTTGTGACAGGCTTTGGAGATGCTGGATTTCCTTTGCTGGAGAGTGCACGTTAAAACAGGTACTCCATGTAGTTAAGGCAGCCCTGCAAGCAGCAGATGCAGCACCAGATTTGGCTCTGTAAATGTAAAATTGTCACTGTCAGTAACTTTCAATTCTCTCTTGAATGGAATTTGGTGAAAATCAATTAATGACATTTCTGGCTGCTGGAAACATCACCTGTCTGTTGAGGTCTCTTAGTGTCACTTCTCTCTCCCCTCCCTCCACCCCAAGCAACTTGTTTCTCATCTTTATGAGGAGGAACTGATGTTGCATGATGATGATTATCACTGAGCTTGACACCCTCTACACTGCTGCGACGTGAAAAAGGTGGTGCTTTCCTAGTGGACCTGGCTGGCAAGTCAGAGCTTGGAGGGAACACTCTGTTGTGCAGCATTTGTCATCACGGTGGTCTCATATGCAGCTCTTCGAGATCTGTAGATGGACGCCGAATCTGAAGAGGTTGTAAATTTATTTACCTATAGCACGTCAAGCCTCATGTACCCAGTTGTGCTGGTAATTCAAGTCTCTCTTGAACTGAAATAAAAGCAAATGGCAGAGGCTGAGGCTTTCAAGATAATATAATTTATCTTCTGAAAATCTGCTTTTTAGATGTCAGGCAAAACAATTTCACAATAGCTAGAAAAGATCTTGTCTGGCATGGCTGTGTTTTTATTGGTCTTTAATGTAACTTGAAAATAGTAGGCCATATTGTGGCGTTCAATCTTCTATTGATTTTTCAGACAGTCTGATAACACAAATGAAAACAATGCCTGTAATTAGACATCATTCCTAAAGCTAAGGAACTTTGGAGAAAGCCACACAGAAAGCTTCCTCTGCATGTAAAACTTCAAAGTGCTTCCTGGATTCATGAACTACAGGCAAACTGGAAGTCAGCGTGAAAAGTAGCAGTAAACAATAAGAAAAAAAATACTGCCTTCATGTTTGAATGAGACATTTTTGTCTTCTGACAGAAGCTAAAAATTAATTGTTCACATCTGCAGGGCAAAGTGGTTGTATCAAGGTTGGCCAAGCAAGCACCCTCTTGCAAAGCTGGTGTGACTTCAGTGTTCCTGAGGATTGCTTACAGAAAAGAGGATTGCTCGCAGCTTTTTCTGGTTCAGAGGCAATTGAGAACTTCCAAGTGGTTGTCAGGTATCTTCCTTAGATATGGTGCCTATTAAGGAAACACCAGTTAGCTCCTATGGGAGAGGAATGGCAGAGGAATGACCCACTGGTGCAGTGGGCCAGCCCACGCTTAGCCCAAGATTTGGATGGCAAATCCCTTACCCCGTGACCCCAAATTGTGCCAAGGCTTTGTGTTTTCAACGATCTGAATGTGCTTTGTAGCATTTTCTTCCTTTTTCTGCTTGGTCTTCAGCCTTTGTGCAAAAGTTTTCTTCTTTAAAGCTGACAGAGTTTATCAGATGTACTAGCAGTTAAAACAGCAACAAGAAAAACCTAACCAGCCAAGCCAAAGAGGGTGATTTATGAGGCTTTATGAAACTTTTTTTGGAATAAAGATCATTTGAGTCATTCTCCTCTGATTCACCCATAGCTCATGTGCTCTCCACAGGAGAATTAAGCTACAGTCAATGCCTAGTAAATTCAGCTGATGAGATGGGTCCACTGACCCACCAGCTCTGACTTAGCATAAGTCTGCTCAGCACACGAGCTGCTACATGTCCGGGGACTCATCAGGTATTACAAGAGGGCTGATGAACTTTCTGGAGCTTGTTTCTCAAAAGTCTTAATGAATAAACTGGTTTCTTACTGGGCCAATCTTATTCCTTTTAGCGTGGGGTTGAAGCATTAAGCTGCTCTTCTCTCCCTTCCACTTGGAGGAAGGGGAAAGGCTTGGAGACTAGCAGTAGGGAACCATAAAAGCAGGCATGTTTTCTGGCTGATACTCCTGCCATCCTGGTCCAACAACTGCAATGATACGGAGGGGCAAGATATTGCAGGGGCAAAAAGCTGGGCAATTGCTATTAGTCTTACTTTAATATTTTTTGCTGTGTTCTCCTAGAACATCATCTGTGAATCCTATCTGACTTCTGTCACAGAGAGGCAGCTTGTTGTGGCTCTTCCACTACTGCAGTCTCAATTTTTTCTGGGATAACATCGTTTGGTGGTGGTCCCTTTCTTAGGATGATGTCTGCCTCTTGTTATATTTATTAGACCCTACAGAATCCCATTCTTATAACAAATTACATCTTTTTAATGATCTATGATTTTATACAAAAATGATAGTCTTTACTGAATAACATCCAGGGGTCTGGGGAGGAGAGACATGCGTTCTTCAAATGTTGCCTAGCAGGGCACATCTTCATTGACGGATGTTTTTTGATTAACCTCTTACACAAACAGAAAATCTTAATTTAATTCAGACACCTTTTATTATAGTTTGAAGTTACCAACAAAATAACAAGGAACAAAGAGACCTCCCCAGGCAAGAGAAAAGCCACGACACCCCGCTGCTGAGGATCCGCACGGCTTTGGAAGTATGTTTAATTCAAACATAAGTGTAGACGTACTCTTAATTCAACCCAAGAGCAGGTTAACACTGAAAGGGATTGTCTTACTGTCATCATCCTGGCCACGGGGTCACACCGCCGCTTTTGCTCCGCTTCCATGCAGTAGGTTGGACCAATGTGAGATGAAATCATTGTTCCATGAGATGACTCACATTACAAAGCTATACCCTAGGATCCTGTCATTAAATCCCCCACAAGTGGTCATCCAAAAGCCCTCCGCTTAAGGGTGCCAGCACAGTGAAAGCAGAAGGCATTTACATTTCCCCTGAAGACCCAGTCCTTCCATCAGCCCTCAGAGCAGTTTGCTGACTAAATCCTCTACGCAATTGAATAATTTATCATATGAATAAATTCATTTATGCCCAATGAAGAGGTGGACTACTGGGATGTAGTAATGCCAACACAAGAAAACTGAAGCTGGGGAGGTGGGGGAGATGAACCCGTAACAATGGCGAGCAGTACCGTCTGCTCAGGCTGCAGGAGACAGCTGTGACTGCATCTGAAATATGAGAGTGTGGGGAGGTGAGGACCAGCATCTAAAAAGGGCTTTAGAATAAGCAGAGCCGAGCAAAAAACAAGCTACTCCTTTTGAGCTGCAAAAATATGGTTGTTATAGAATCACTGAAAACTAAATTGCAAGTTTTATGTCTCATTTCAAATTTTCCAATTCAGAAAGTATATAAGCAACATTCCTGTGTCTTTTACTTTTCACTGACATTTAAGAAATTTAAGTCTCAACTCCTGCCACACTGCCTGTCACCCAAGCCCTTGGCCTGGGAAACTGGAGAATGCATGTTGCAGATGCATGCAGCTCAAAGACTGAAAAGCCAGATCTCAAGTAGTGTAAACTGGCTTTGGTCCAGCTTACACCAGCTGCTGATCTGCTCTGTAAGTCTCTTACAGCACTTAGAACTGTTGGAGAGATGGTAGGTTGCATAAACTAAATGCTGATAGGACTACCTAACTAGGTAGGCCTTGCTCACGTTTGTGGCTAGGAGATTGTACTGAGCAGTTTTAAAATCCCTCTGTCTTCAGCTGTTCTTCAAAGAAATCGTTGCATGCCACAGTCAAAGCAGCAACCAGAATGACAAATTCATTAAAATCCACTTCATTGTCTTTATTGGAGTCCAGATCTTTCATGATCTTATCAACCAGAAGGGGGTCCTTTTGGCCCTAAAGAGAAAGAGAAGTCACTTAGCTGTGCCTGAATGTGTAATTCTGACACACACGGAGGTGCAACTTGATGCTATGTCACAAGCCCTGGTGCTATTAAATAAAAGGCTGCATGACATATGCACCTGAATAGTAATATACCACTAGCCACAGCATTAAAAACATAGGTCTGGAGTCCCAAAAGTGCACACCAACAGACGCTGAAGACAGTGCAGCTCTCAGAAGGAATACAGGTACTAAATAGTCTCTGAAATGAATCAAACAGTTTTTTAGGAGCTGCTATGCACTGACTTCTTTTGACAAGATGAATCTATAATGTGCATTTCTCTGTATCATCCCTTAACAAACAGTACTTAGATTTTCAACAGGCTATTCATAAGCGGTCGTACATCCATTCATCACGTTCAGAAGATCTCTACTTAGCAAAAAACACATCCTATTCAGTGGGAGTAAGAACAGTGACTCTTATAATAATAAATCAATAGCCAAGTTTAAAGGAAAATCCAATTCAGGGAAATTGATACAATGTAAAAAAAAAAATCCTGCTGGTATGAATCTGGTCATTGTTCTATAAAAAACATCCATGCTGTGCAGAACGTAACAAACATGCAAAGAGATATTCAGATCAGCAGCTTATCACTGAAAAGGTCATCTTAGCACCTTTCTGCAGGACACAGAAGCAGCTCTACTGTGGTTGTGGCCATTCTGCACAAGCTACTTTCTTGTTTCATGAGAACTGGTTGCTGGATTTAATTCTTTGAAGGACTGATCTATGCCCTATTATTAGAAATGAACAAAATCCCAAACAAAAATTATTAAGGCCTGATTTAGCATTGATCGTGCTACTGCTTCTAGTCTGTTCTTGCCCTCCTGCTCAAAAGCACAGCGGTGTAAGCAGAGCACAGGTACCCATCTCTGCTGCTGGTGGCAAACAGAAGGGCACTAGGGGTGGACCACCCCTGCAAACACACTTCTTGAACAGCACATCTGATCCCATCTCCTTCTATCTGGGTCCACAAAGACAACTCTCCTCTGAGAGGCTGTGGCAGGATATGCTTTGCAGAAGGCGATGCTATTCCTGAACACTTGGGTGGCTGCTTACACCATCCATGAAACAGTAACTCAAGAGGTTCAGGAGCAGTGTCTTACTGAAAGGAAGTCAGTGAGCTCACTGGCAAGGAGCTCCTTGAGTTCTCCTTTACTGAGCTTGTATCTGTCTCCTTCTTTCCCAGAGTAGTGATGGAAAATCCTGATCAAGGTGTCCATCGCGTCCTCCAGTGGTGTGGACATAGCAGTGAGCAGGAGAGCTGTGGAGCAAAGATCCAGAGTCAGTGATACTGCACAGGAGCCAAGCCAAAGGCTGGTCTCAGGTTTTCAGTTGATCCATCCTGTGAGCTCTGTATGACCAAGCCTAGGCTGTTGCAAAATAAAGCATTGTCCTGAACTCACTAGCAATTACTTCAGAAAGGTGAATGGAAAGGAAGACCTTTATGTAAGGAAGTGATCTACCATCCATTTTGCAAAGCCATTGTAAAAAGAAATCTCTCGTGTGCATAGCTGAAAACACAGGGAAAATGAAGGCACACCCTCCTAGCTGTTCATTCCAATGTTTCCTCTAGAAAATGAGATCAACAGATAACAGCAGCCAAAGTGGATGCGCATTTAGACAGAAGACTCCACACCAGTTTCTTTGGTGGTTAGAGAAAAGTCACCAGTAATAAGGATAGAAACATCCTCTTTCAATTTATTTGGTCACGTTTGCTTGGGCTGACCTTTTTTTCCATAAATTACCTGGAATAAACAATTGTGAGCTAGGCACCACCAAGGTTTTGATTTGTCAAGCATGCAATGGGAAGGTACCAAGGGAAGCACCACAAATTAAAAAGATGGAAATGCAATTATATGCTGAGTGACTGACACAAAAAATAACTAAAAATAGAAATCAGGTGAAAGGTAACATTACGTTGATGAAGCCCTGGAAGAGAGATTAAAAAGCCAGAATGAAATTCCAGATAAGACTGCAGTCCTGAGCAATATCGCCACGCAAAGGCTAAGACTTACCTGCCTTACAGACTAGCTGAGATGTATGCAAGAAAATACTTAGATCCCAGAAGGTGATGGTCACCTTCCTTTCAAAACCCATGCACAGGCTCTCATTTATCAGGCTGAGAGGGTGGATTACACACACAGACGTGTAATTGTCACAGGGGTGACGGGACTTCTGTTTCCTTCTGCATTTTCCTACTCTGTTCAATAAAAGCCACTTGCTGTAAATGGGTCACTAAAATATTCACTAGGCAGAGCAGAGGGCTGTGTGCGGAACATACGAGACATTTTTTATCATTTGACCTTTTACAAATATGCCCATCTGGGGGCCTGAAGGTCAGAATTATAACATGCTAATAATCACTATGTCAGTATGAAACAACTTGCCCCCATTTTCAAAAGAATCGTTCTAATCTGTCTCTCTGTACTTCTACAGCTGAGAGTCTAAATGCTTCAATGCTGGGAGACAGTGTTCAAAGATACTTGGGTACCTCAGCCAAGTGCAAGGTCCTGC